AGATACAGTGAAGCGAACTCCATTAATCACTGCCAAGCTCACAATGTACACAAATTAAGCGATAAAGCACAAGATGGAGAGGGATAGGGCCTAATTGGAGGGAGGCAGAGAAAGCGAATCTCTATGGTCAACACGGAGTACACAATCGAAGTGTGCACACACATCTTTTCAAGCACTCTGACTAGTTAAGTGACAACAAGAACATCACTGCTGTCGGTTCGCTGCCATATTCTTCAATGTCTCCAACCAACCCGTTGCAGTCTTTTGGACCCCAACCTAGAAGACGGAAGATACTTATTCTACCTAATCCCTCTGTGCATTTCTTCACGCCTCGTTTCCACGTCGTCTGTTGACCCTCACGCGGTTTCTTCCAAACTGGAGTCACGGTGTGGCAGACAATGGCTGGGGACGCGCAATACGTGTCCTAACCAGCGAAGTCGACTAATCTGAATTTCATGGGACAACGAATTCTCCATCGGATCATTACCAAATACGTGACGCCTTACCTCGGAGTTGCTTACAAGCTTGCTCCATTCAACCAGCGTCAAAATACGTAAACATCGATAGACGAAGACTTCTAGACGACGAATATCTTCCGCGAGCAAATTTAGGGTCTCACAACCACAGAGCAGAACTGACAGCACACACGACCTTTCAGTTTCAATGAAACATCGCGTCTGCACCGAAGGTATTTCAGTCCTGCGTAGGCTGCTCGAGCCTTGCAAATGCGGGCAATCACTTCACTTTGAAGGTACAAAGCGCATGCCGAAAGGAGTTACAGAACTTGCGAATCTGTCAAGAGCGCTTTGTGCATCCTCCATACATGCCAACAGACAAACAATGTCCTCCGCGTACTCTAAATCGCAAAGCTTTTCCTCAGCTGCCCATCCAATACCAACATTATGGAGACCACTAAGTGCGTCCTCCAGTACTTCGTCTATGATCAAATTGAACAGGAATGNCGAAATAGGGCACCATTGACGAACACCCCTCCTGGTTTCCAACGATTTACTCAGTCCACCGTAGACCCTTACGCTACCAGAAGTATGCAGGTACAGCGACCGCAATAGGCTTACACACTTATGGGGCATTCGTTTGCGAAGCAGCGACCCCAGAAGAGCTTCATGGTCAACCGAATCGAAGGCTTCTCTAAGGTCAAGGAAAACCGCAACTATTGGTCGACGATGTGTGTGACGCAATTCGAGGACTTGAGACAGAGTGAAGATTTGGTCGATGCAACCGCGACCTGATTGGAAACAAGTTTGCTGCTCGCGGATATGTCAGGCGGCGAAGTATCACAGAAGTCAACACTTTTTTGATTATCGGAACTAAACTAATCCCGCGGTGGTTGGTGCAGTCGTTGCGTGATCTCTTCTTGAAGATCGGGACGATCAATGATTCACCCCAGGACGAAGGGATACGCTCCTCCGATCAAATGCTGCGAAGTGAGCTAGTAATCGAGTCGACGAGAGAATCACCGCCCACTTTAAAAGAATAGGAAGAAGCCTACCAGGTCCCACAGCCTTCCCATTCTTTGATGATTGAATACAACTTCGTACTTCCAATTCTGATGGGGGCTCACATGGAGCTTCCGCTGCAATTGCCAAAATGAACGCATTACCATTAGGCCAATTGAACTGTTCACTACAATACTCTGTCTATTCTTATTGCAAATGGTATGTCTCACTGATCGGTATGTGACGACCTCCGGTGCTGCGTATCAGGTGAAACAGTCTTCGACTATTCCCTGATGCAGAAGCTACCTCCATTTCACTAGCAATTTTGGCTTTTTCCTGAGTTTATGTTGCAGGCGCCACCGGTCCTATATTGATCCTGGCAGATTGCGATTTTTCGCTTTTGATGCATCAGGGTTACTGACTCATGAGAGATCTAATACCTTTGGCGAACTTCGGGCTCGGTCCCACAAGTTGGATGGTGAGTGCATTGGAAATCTAATTTGACTCCACTGCTGGTCTACTCCACTACGTCGTGGTTCTCCTAGCTCCTTTCACAGCTTCTCCTCATAAAGGTGGTGATGGCACAGTGGTTTAGTCGCCGTTATAGACGTGCTTTGGACCCTATAGTTCGAGGTTCGAGCCCCGTCATCGCCACCCAACATCAGTGGTAGGCAGCCCTGTTTTCGACCGGTTCAATATCACACCAAACCTATCTGGGCCTTACGTGGTTCGCTACTCCAAGTCTCGGGGTCTAGGTTACCGGTTTCCATCACTGAGCAGCAGGTCCTCGTGACTATGGGGCCTATCCCGTCTGCTGTTCATTACACTAAAAGTTAGTAAAAAAAAAGTAGAAGACAGATGGATCGCGCAAACAATGATGAGCTAAATGAGGAGGCGATTTCAGCCGATGACCGATGAGTCCAAGAGTGAAGAGTAACAGAACTGGTGCATGGTCGGACTCAACGAAGGGCATCCAATAGGATCTGCAATTTTGTACTGCACCACGCCAACGGTAGCTTACAGCTACGTGGTTAATTTGGGTCACCGGCCAGCAATATAACATCACAGCTGCGGCTCAAACGAATCAGTTCGGCGAGATTGTCGTAAAATTCGTCCTTTTGTGAAGCGCGACTGCAGTTCGTTGGTGCATACGCGGAAATGATGAACAAACACCTTTTGGTTTTTCTACCCTTTCGAACACTAACTGAGCCCTGGAGTCTCATTAAGCACAAACGAATATTGACAGGTATCCAATCTATCCGCAAGGCTTTAGCTTTATCGTTTAGTACGATTCCTACACCACGATGACCAAGTGAGCGGGCTTCATAGTCTCCTGATGTACGGAGGAAATATACCTCGAGGACAGACCAGGCACACTAAGGTGGCTTATGATACTGGGATCCTGAATTTGAGTATCGGATATGCAACAGATATCAGTTTCTAAAGACTCCATTGTACGCGCTAGACCCGCTTGATGACCAAAATTCGGAAAGAAACGACAGAATGATGGATATAGGCGCAGATACCCCGTTTGAGAAGAAGAGAATGGAGGAAGAATTTAGGGGACAGAAGGTAGATAGTGTCTAGCGAAGGAGAGATTTGGGTCTCGGTCATAAATAAGGCCAAAGAGGAAAAGGATTGGAGAAAGTGATGTACCGAATTAAAATTTGGATTTAAATTTCGAAAGTTAAAGAGGACAATGGAGTCCTGTGAGTTTGTAGGTAGAGAGCACATTCTGTGATTCATGTGAGTTGTATTGTTTATCTGTGGTGAAAGAATACCGGCAAACCAGCCCAGAGACTTGGAGTGGTAAATCACGATAGGCTGAGCATGTAGTTTACAGAAGGGCTGCCTAACACCTAATAAAGCCCTCTCTTCGCGATGCGCTACTGCTCGATTATTCAAAATGTGATTTAAAGTGGTGAACCACACAATACCTCATTTAAGCCAGGTTGCAATGGAGCTGACGACCAACAGCAGGCAAAATGCGAAATCAATAGGCAGGCAGGGTAAACATATTCGGAGGAGAAAACAGCCCGTTGTGCTGTGGATTTTTAACAAGCAAATGTAGCTTACATCATTTTATTTATTTTACAGTAAATAAATGTCTTCTGAATGGCATTTTGGAGGTCCCTGATTATCCGAGAAATTCAACGTCAAAAATGCGTTCCCTTTTGTGTAGTAACACGCTCTGCTTTCGTACGAACGCACGTATGAGATATAGTAGTACGATCGCGGGATACCGATGAGCCAGTGCCTACATGTGCATTAAAGAATCAACTGTATTAGTTAGACCAAAAGAAAATAACAACGGATATTTACCTATCCGAATATGAGCGTGAAAAGAACGTGTGGTACCTTCGTTGTGGTCCGCTTCGATAAACAATATAGAGGACATGGCATTAACAGTCATTTACTACCTTGTCTACAGAGGCTTACATTTTTAGCTGTTATAACCTTTTTAGGAACACTGATTCTGCATTTTTGACATTTTCTACACACGCCCAGATAAAAATTAAGGCTGATGTGCATTTAAAATATTCCAGATTACTGAGCGGCAAAATTTTAATTAATAGCACAGAAAAAGCTCATCAAGCAACTATTACCCAGACTCCTTCATGACCGATGAGTCGCCACAATCGCATGCTCCGCCAGCCAAACTCTTGAACTTGTTAAAGTCGTGTCCAACATGATTCCCTGCGGTAAAGCATGAGCTGCACAATGACATGCTTGAGGAAATTCCACATGTGCGACAACGGTATGCAAAATAGTTAGTAGTCCACACAAGGCTACATCGAGCAGAATAATCATATTCCTTCACTAAACAAATGAGAAGTATTAAGCAACACTCACGCTTCCGGCCCATTGCCTCGATTCCAATATCCCCAGCAATCAAGTACTCGAAGAATTTTGTGAGAAACGTCATTCTTGCTTTCTTCATTCGGTACCTATCTGCCGTGAAACAATCGTAGGAAAAAATATCCATGACGGTTGTGAAAATATTTGAGTGAGAGTTTCCACAAATACATGCTTCACTATATTTTGATCTAAAGTCCTCCTTAGAGATTCCGCATTTATGGCACACATGGTTTATAAATTCCTCTGGATCTTTAAGCTCTGCATCCAGTAGATCGAAAAAATCCATAGCGTCCACAACCAAAATGTCGGAGGCGTCCAAGATGTGTTCTTCAGTCAGTCAGGACCGGTCAGGTCAGGTTGTACAGGACTGATAGTGGCCACAGGCCAATCACGCGTCCAGAATT